ACCCTAAAAAAGGGTTTTCCGATTAATAAAGTAACTGCAGCAGAAGCAAAAAGAATGCATTTGGCCCGCTGTCTTGGAGTGTATGTACTCCTTTCATTGGACTTCTTCAAAACAAAAAAGGTAGTTCATTTCATTTACTTTCTACTCAGGGTTTAGGGTTTAGGGTTTAGGGTTTAGGGTTTAGGGTTTAGGGTTTAAGGTGGTTCTAGCTCCTAAAAGCGCCAATCTCTCGCATTTGAAACAACTTCTCACAACTAATTAGCTAACCAATTAATTAAATTAATTAATTAAGCTATTTATTATTTATTTATTTATTTATTTATTATTCAGAGTCTCACAGAAGCAGCAGAAGTCCTCGAGTGGCTGTGGGGCGCCTTCAGCCAAAAGCTGCTGCTGCAGCAAACAGCAGCAGCGCTGCTGCTGAAGCTGCTGCAGCAGCAAGCCACGTAGGCAGCAAATAAACAAACAAACAAATAAATAAATAAATAAATAAATAAATAAATAAATAAATAAATAAATAAATAAATAAATAAATAAATAAATAAATGAATAAATAAATAAATGATAAATAATAAATAAATAAATGAATAAATGGATTTAATTAAACTAAATTAAATTAAATTAATTAAATTAATTCAATTTAATTTCTTTGGGGGATTTCTGTGGGATTTTTGCTGCAGCAGCGTTTTTGGCTTTGGGGACTCCCGGGGCTTTTTAAACTTTTTTAAAACTTTTTTTGCATCTTTTTGCATCCTTTTTTCCCTTTTTTAATATTCTTTTTGTTTCTTCTTTATTCTTTTTTTTGTCTCCCTTTTAATCTTCTTTTGTCTCCTTTTTATTCTCCTTTTTGTCTCCTTTTTATTCTCCTTCTTGTCTCCTTTTTATCTTTCGTTTTGTCTCTTTTTGGTGTCTTTTTGTCTCCGCTTTTGGTTTTTTTGATATTTTCCCCCCCTCTTTTGTCCGTTTTTATCTCTTTTTTGCGTTTTTAAACATTTCCATTTTATCTCTCTCTACTCTCTTGTAATTTATTTTTTTTCGTCTGTTTTTATTTGTCTTTATCTCCCTTCATTTGTTTTTGTTTTCGTTTCTTTTTATTCCCTTTTATTCTCTTTATTTCTTTTAATTTGTTTTTATTTCTTTTCATTTCTTCAGCATTGGAGGCGCAGCTCACTGTCTTTCCCTTTGCAAAGAAAAGTTCACTTACCTTTTTTCTCTCTTCAAAACCAGCAGCAGCAGCAGCAGCAGCAGCAGCAGCAGCAAAGGGGAAAAGCCGAAGACGGCGACGGACAGGCTGCCGTGCTCGCTGCTTGAGGTGTACATACACCTCAAGCTCCTCGCCGAGAAGCAGCTGCTGCCAGCAGCAGATTATTTTCATTTTATTCAAATCTTCAGCAGTCAGCTTTCCACTTTTAGTCTTTTTCTTTCTTTTCGATTCTTTTTTGTCCCTTTTTGATCCTTTTTTGTCTCTTTTTGATTCCTTTTTGGCTCCTTTTGATCTCCTTTTTAATTCTTTTTTAATTTCTTTTTAATTTCCTTTTAATTCCTTTTTAATTCCTTTTTTTCTAATTCCTTTTTACGTTCTTCTTAGCTCTTTTTTTAATCCTTTTAATCTCCTTTTTACTTCTATCATTTTCCATTTTTTAATTTTTTTAATCTTTTGTCTTTTTTTAATTCTTTCTTAATTCCCTTTTATCTCCTTTTCTGATCCTTTTGGTTTACTTCTTCTCACTAATTAGTTAGCTAGCTATCCAGCCAGCCAGCTAGCTAGCTAGCTGGATACCTAGCTAGCTAACAACTAGCTAGCCCGCCAGCTAGCTAGCTAGCTAGCTAGCCAGCTAGCTAGCTAGCTGGCTAGCCAGCTAGCTAGCCAGCCAGCAAGCAAGCCAGCTAGCCAGCTAGCCAGCTAGCTAGCTAGCCAGCTAGCTAGCTAGCCATTGTTTTGTGTGTTTTTGAATTTGTTTTTTGTTCAGAAGAAAACGAAAATTTGATTTGCCACTTTTTGGAGGACTCTGCTGCCTTTCATCCTTTGCTGCACCGCCTGTGGCTTTCTTTGCTGCGCCTTCTTTTCATTCAAAAGTTCGTAATTAATTAATTAATTAATTAATTAATCAAGTAATTAATCAATTAATTAATTAATTAAACACATTTAATTAATTAATTAATTAATTAATTAATTAATTTATTTGGCCATTTATTTATTTGGTTTTTTAGTTGGTGCAGCTAGTTTGGCTGCGCTGTTTGTTGAGGGTTTAAATAGCTGCTTTGTTTTGAGACTTTTAATTCTTTTAAATAAATAAATAAATAAATAAATAATAAAATGAAAAAATAAATAGAATAAATAAGAAAATAAATATGTTTACTTATAAATGAAGTCAACAAAGATGGCGCTGTGCTGTGCCTCTTATCCCTCCCGCCTACCGCCGCCCCCCTAAACCCTAAACCCTAAACCCTAAACCCTAAACTCTAAACCCTGATTTACTGTTGTTTATGTTTCCTCCTTCAGAGATTCCGAAGAAATATTCTGCAGACTTTGGCCCGCGATAGACAAACGTCTCTTTGGGGGCCCCCAGGGGGGCCCCCAAGAGGGG